CGTTATTTTGGAAGTCTAAATATTCCGAATACTTTGACTTGCTTTCTGAAGTGCAACCATCGGCATTACTTTGTACCTTCGGCATACTTATTGTTCGTATCATTCAATTGTCACTAGCGTAAACAATATATGTAAACAACATGTTATCCCCCGAAAATGAATGGAGATTAATGAGATTTATAAGTTTCTTGACTTTATTGCAAAACAGCCGCAGTAAGTTATACAATTCGAGGTAATTGCGATACTAAATGTTCTGAGTATTCAAAAAAATATCTGTAAGGGAGTAGTTTTATCTCTGGGAAATTTAGGTATAATCGTGGACCATTGTGTATTACACACAATTATACATGTATTTGGTAATAATTAAACAGAATGATAAAATTAGTCTCAAGGCTTAAATCCCCATTAGACACTGACATAGGTGCGCAATAAAATGGATAAACACAATAAAATATCCGAGAAAACAAATTCTTGAGTACGTTGCAACTCTTTGTCCATGGAAATGTGCGGTGGAAATAACTGGTATACTTGATAAGGCATACTTCTGGACATATCTTAGATATCCCTTACCAGATTAGCTTAAAATTGAATGTCAGTGTACCTTAAATAAATGGATCAATATTGTTTTGACAACACATTATTAACTCCTTGGTTTTGACTTTTCTTATATACAGTACAGGCCACGAGTTTTCCCCGAAAAACACGGGGCCCCGTGGACCGAAAGTCCACGCTTTAGCGTGGGCCTCGATCAATGTCGGCATCTTTAAAGTGAGGGTGTCTGCGCACCGTGTAACACGGTGTGTTCGCGCGGTGTATCACAGTGCCCCATTACGATATCACGCAGAACTTATAATAAAAACTTCTCATTTCTTTATTTAATCAATCATATCAATTCCTTTGAAATCAGATTTTTTTTTAGGAATACACTTTCGTAAATTGATTACCTGGTTGTCTTTTCTCTCGATTATAACTGTGTTCATTTTCCTAACAAGATCTCTTTTACCGTACATATGCACTCATATGTGGTATTTATCAGATGCATAGTTTATTTCATAAATCATTTTCTAAGTAAAATTTTAAAAAATATATATATATGCATCTAAATAAATAAAATCAAAAAACGTGTCAGATACACACACATGAACTCTATTCTCTGATTATTACTCGGCGAATTATACATGTACTTTCGATTAAGGATTATTGCAATCTGTAATCATGTAAAACATGGAGGTAAATATCACACGCACAAAAAGCCGACTTTTGGTAACCCAAATCTGCTTTTCAACTACTGTACAAATATTACCTTATTCTGAGATTATTTTATGAAAAATGTCTCGTAAGGTTTGCGAGAAAAAAAAATCCATTAGCGAATGTGGAGCGGGGATGTATAGAGCAAATTAAGCTTCTCAAGGTCAAAGTATTATTATTGTGTTAAGGAAGAAAATGTGTAGTTATAACAAAAAAAAAAAAAAAAAAAAAAGAAAAGACCTAGCATCTTTCAAGCTACATGCATTATGTTCATTACCCCTCCCCCCCCCCCCTTTCCGCTTGTTGAAAGCGATATGATTCAGCTAATTAAAAATTAATCGAAAGTCTGTGGATTTATATGTTACGTTATTGTGAAAATAAAAAATCTAACTGATTACATGTTTATATGTGTCTGAAAAGGATAATTTACAAGTAAGTTTAAAATCAAGTCAAAGTACACGTTTGGTGAACTGGTGGTGTAACCCGGTAGATGAATTCGGCTGGAAGTCACTTGAGTGTGTTATACACATGATATGGTCAGGACGAAAGAATTTGAAAGGTGTGATAATCACACAGCGCCCCGGCCCTCCGGCTGTATCCCAATATATTTTAAAGAAAGGTGTAAACTCGGAACTGAAGATAAGAATGTTTCAAATCACAAGAGAAATACTTTCCGCGTAAGCAAACTTTCAGGGCCATCTAGCTGCGATTTTGATTGACAGGTAGAGCACGAGGATTTCGGGTGTTACATGTACGAAGAACAAATTGATTGAACACATGTAACTGAGTTGAATATGAAACGAAGTTACGGAATTTAAATAGTATTATAGAATGATTAATTGTGACTTTGGTAATGTAAATAAAACGAAGAATTAAATTTATAAGAATCTCTCTCTCTCTCTCTCTCTCTGACACTGTTTCTTTACACACTTTCCATTTAAATAAAAACTTACCGTATTAAATACTTACACTGAAAGGATTTTAAAACAAAAGCATAAATACTAGTTTATGAAAAGATAAAGACAATCGTCTGCTACGAGAAATACTCTTGGACATTATAAAACGGAGATTTTTTATTTTTAGATTTATGCGAAAGGGGGTCTCTCTCTCTCTCTGACATTGTTTCTACACTTTTCAATTAAAGAAAAAAATTATTACATACTTACACTGGAAGGATTTTCAAAATACTAGTTTATGAAAATCTGCTACGAGAAATACGCACATTATTGTACACAGGGATTTCGTGTTTTTGCTGCCGATTCTCGCTTATAAATTCAGAATAATATAAGACTATCAAAATGTACTCTACTCAGGAATATAAAATTAATGCTTTGATTGTATACTAAAACAACTGCAGCTCGGATCGTATACTACATGTAATGCAGCTTGATGGATCATGCTATTTATAGCCTTTCTTCGTTGCATGAATGAGCTCATGGAATTAAATTCTTCTGACATTAAAAATTTCAACCCAAATGATAATTTTAAAAAGTACCGGTAACTAAATAACTTTACAAAATACAAACTTCTGGGTGCACGATAAATTCAAAATCATTTTTTAAATATACATTTATATAAATTTAAATATAAATTTAAAATAAATACTACATGTTTCATTAGTACGATTCAGAGCATATTCAATGTCTTCTAGACTTTAAAACGATAATTTTACATATATAAATCAAAGTGATAAATTGTTTTTAAATTTTAATGTGTTTATCTGCACCAAACGATTTTCTCTGTAATGTTATGGACACGGTACGGCACGGAGGGAATTTTCTGGGCACGGTGCGACACGGGGAGCATTAGCTGGGATTTTTCAAGACACGGTGCGACACGGTGTGCCTACCTTTGTATTTCAAATCCACACACACCGTGCTACACCGTGTACACGGTGTGACACAGAGCATTTCACACGGTGTGTTTTCCACCGTGCGACGGGGAAAACTCGTGGCCTGTACTGTAGAATGCATTCATCTTTTTCTGGTTTTACACTTTCATTTCATTTATTTTATCTACAGCCTCTTTCTACAATGAGCTGTTTACGTGATACTTTCTACCTACAAGATACGGTGGTGGAATTATAACAAAAACATCAACAATGCTGTTCCTGCATTAATCTTTTACATTTTTTTGGCCATTAAAAGGTCAAAACATTATTCTAGGCTCCACCAAACCCTGTGCATAATCTAAGTCTCATTTTTTTTCTCCATCTTTATGTTGTCTCTCTTCCAGGGTCTCTGACTTCTGTTAAACTGTATTCATCTGTTCACTTGTATCATGCAATTGTCTCTTTTCCAATGTCTTAATCTTTTCTGCATCTTGAACCGGTCTCTCTTCCAAGGTATCTGACTTCTCTTTATCTGTAGTCTTATATTTATTATTTAACTTTAACTGTTTCTCTTCCAGAGTCTCAGTCTTTTCAGTATCTTTACTCGGATGTTCTTCCAGGAACTCTGACCTCTCTTCATCTGTACCCTTTTTTTCCACTAATGTACCATATTTTTCTGTCCTTTCCTGTGCACTTATATACATTGATTGTCTGCCAACCCATTTCTTTGAATTCTTAACTGTGAGTTTTTCAGGGTTAACATCTAGAAGTAATAATGCATTAGAGTGGTTTGGAATCCAGTGGTCTGCAACCATATCTGTTCTTGTTGTGGTCAACATATGTCATGGACCAGCTTCTTATCTCCCTGTATTCATGATTGATGACTTTTATACATTGTTTCATTGAAAACATCTTTGACATCGCTTTTGACGGTTATAAACAATTTGTAACTTTTTCATCTAAGGATTCACACGTTCAAAGAACATTCAATGCATTTGCAAAGAAATATTATTTTGAAAGTATCTGGAATTTCATAATATATATCAATCCTTGGTTTATAGGCATATTTTAAATATGGACATATTTACAATAAAAAACAAAAGCAACGCGATATTTATTTTCGATATATATTTTCAAGAGGTGAATGATAAAAGAAGAAAAAGACTGTATTCGATTCTGAATTATGAAACATTTTTTTCTCATCCAAAAGGACCAATACAGAGTCCTTTATCTCGCCTTATGTGAATCATTCAGTGGAAGATCAAGATGTTTGACAGCTGAATCACTTTCAAAACCACCCCAAGATAGGTCCTTTTACACAAATTGTGGTGAATTATCAAGTACAACTTCCCTGTCGTCAGAGTTCCAGGTAAATTAATCGTACTCTATAAAAATATAAAATAATGCAAGTCTATTCACTTTATATCCAAATGAAGAAGACCCACAATAAAAGGTATTGACAAGGCTTCAATTAGCTTATAAAGTGGGTCCCCCTATATGCATTAAAATTCTGAATGTACAATTTTTACGAATACAATTTAGATTATACACATATAAAATAAAAACTATTTGAATATCTATCAGAAATACATAATTTAGATTATAAATTTCTAGAAAAAAAGACATTATTCTTACCTATCAATAATTGCTTGAAATGTAAGCATGCGTGTACTCTTACTCTGAATGTTTGTAGAATTTACTGTCTCTTCGGGTAAAATATTCAGAGAAAGACTACGAATCTGGACGTACGAACATATCGGCCAACTATTCAGAGAGTGTTTTACCAGGTATATTTCAATATTTTCTACATCAATTTTAAGTTTTTTTCTCAAATTGGAAGAACAAAAACTAATGAAAATAAATTTAATAAGCGATTGTAATTTTCCACAGCTGCTCTGTAACATTCCATCACTTTTAATTATTAATTTCAGTTGAAAAATACATGTGTTATCTGTCCTATACAAAGGGAAGGAACAACTACTACAACGCTGTTCTACTACAGGTCGGATTTGTGTTTAATTTAACATGAAAAGTGTCCTTAAATGTAACGTTTTCTCAAATAGATTATTTTTATTTAAAAAAATCGCTTATTACGTATTTCTTATATATCAAGTGACCCTTCGAAAATAGACATCAGGAAAACATTATTTCTGTGTTCATTAAGGAGGAGCATCATGTTTGGTTGTAAACGTATTACATTAAAATAAAATGTTATATGAGTGTATGATCAGATGATAAAATTCAATTTCTTATGTACTACGACTCACATACATTAATAATACTGTGAAATTATTAATTTTCGCTGTGTTCGTTGTTTGAGGAGACCCAAAATCTATGTCCCCCGGAAATATTTAGAACTTCAAAATATATTATCATAATTGTCTTTCGACCAAAAATCAAGTCCATTGGAACCAATCTTTTTATCCTCAAAGCACGAAAATATGACCCCAAGAAAATAAGTGATTTTACAGGACCCATTCTTACAAAAAATTAGAAAAATGCATAGTATAAAATATATATTCCAGTCCTTCACAGAAAATGACAGTCTGATCAGCGCCCAGTACCCACTTCCTGACTATACTGAAGATTTTCTCAGACTCATCAGAGATTTTGATGCCCGTGTGTTGGTTTTCCTGAGTCCTTTGAAGGAAATTAATTCTGTAAGAAATGAATCGTTGAAGGCTTGATTACACATGTAGAATCATCAAAAGATATGTTTGATAAATAATTATATAAGTCTTTAGAGTTGAATATTCTAAAAAAGAAAATATAAATGATATCAAAATGTAAAAAAAAGGTTTTCTTACTGTTAATTTTCCATCATCATATTTTCAAAGAAAATAACATTAGATTTGTCTCATTTCGCCAGTCATCCCTTTGGGTTCCGTCAAAATCCAACAACAAAATCCTCGGCAGTTTTGTAGTTAAACTAGCAACATCAACAAATTCGGTAAACTTTACAACCAGGAATATAGTTTTGCAGCCGAAGGTTTGTAATGTTTATACATTATGGATACTAGTTCTTTCCAACTTTTTGTTCGAGAGGTCATGTACCGGTACTTCACGAAACCTACAATTTCTATTTATAGGGAGGCAGCGACATGAAAATAACTGTGATGGAATGTAAGACCTGGAAAGAAGGAAGGTTCCTTGCAGACAAAAGAGTGTTACTTGATGTGGTCAAAGAGGCAAAATCAGAGAAAGATAAGCAAGAGGGAAAAATACTTATTTTGTCCAGGTAGTTCTCAGCTCTGTGTGATTTTGAGCAATTGTTTGATCAATTTCTTAATTTAAGAAACATCTTCCCCTGATACCAGTAACTTCTCAATATTTGAACAATGGATCCCAGAATGTTTTATCGACGTCAATATGCCAAATCTTCTTGCACAGAAGATGTCTTATACATTAAAATTCAAAACAAGTTTCAAATACACCGTGATTTCTTAACAAAAAATTATTTCTATTTGATTTATTGCATGTGTCTGTAAGTGATGGAGCTACACGTTGTGGAGCATTTGCTGTTGTCTATAACGCTCTGGAACAACTCTCAATGGATAAAGATGTGGATATCTTAACCATCACACGACAACTGCAGATTCGTAGACCGGAGTTTGTGTCTACCTTGGTGAGAATGTTTGCCTTTTCAGTATTTGTAAAGTTTAACCTTGTATAAGTGTCATCTTTGCTTACCATTTAATTAATTTTTGGAATTTTAATTGTGCAACACTTGTGGTTTTGCATGAAAACAGTTGAGATGAACTTCTCTAGAAATCTTGTATATCAGGATTCACACAGAATCATTGAACTATAGATGCTTACACTAATCATTCTGTAATCCTTTCTGTTATCCTGAATCATTTTATGATTGGTTATGCTTGCAAACTGTAAAATAGGTATTTAACTTAGGCTAATCCCATTTTTGATTCAAATAAGAAAACTTACAAGAAGTAACAGTAATGGTAATATTTCTAGGAAATTTTGATACATTTGATCTCAGGAATTGTAAATTAGCGAAAGGAAAAAAAAATCATTTTGTATTTCAATGAATTTAAAATAAAGAAACTTTGATTTTAATGCTATATTCTGATGAAATTTGATCTTGTTAATTCTGAGCATCAGCTGGCTGTTGTCTGCTTAGGATTGTTTTAGTAATCTTTGGTGTAGAAATTAATTATAGATACGCGGTACTGTTTCATGTAAAAGAAAAATGGAAGTTGCCTTTTTTCTACAAAAAAAGTCAGTTTCTACCTGGTAACATTTACTGTTATATAATAATAATCATTAAAACAAGGTGTTTTCAATTCACCCCATGAGTCCTAGATCTGTTGGAGTAAATAGTTTTAAAAATAAATGTAAATACAATTTACTTCATCATTGTTGTTAATTCCATTTATGATATGTATCATAAATGATACCATTGTATACCATATTTCCTATATTTTCAGGAGGAATACCAGCTTTGTTATGATGTTGTCGCTGAATACATGCAGAATGACAGCGTTTACGCGAATTGTTAAACAAAGGGAGGAAACTTTCATAACCATAAACAGAATGCAGTGAAAAAGTATCTTTTTCCCTATTTGTGTCATGAATTTGTGTGAATTTAAAACTTTTCGAACATATTCCTTATTTCTGTGTATACACTGTAAGCAATCAAAGTCAAACAAAAAACCCTCTAAAAACAGAAGAGCTTGAGTTTGAGACTTATTCAAAATGAGCTATATATTATTATTATTATTATTGATTAACTTAAATTAGTTTATCTTTTTTTTATTCTTTTGTGTTCCATATGCTTGCTTTTTAGTTTATATTTATTGCAGCACTTTGCATTTTTCATTGTTATATTTCTAAAAATATGATTGATTTTGTAAATTGTCTTTTTTATGTATCTGACTTCTACTGATTTTCAAATTACTTGTTGATTTTTAAGCGTTTTATATCCATAATTTATTTTATCAGTTTGTGTTTTTCGTGCCTTTGTAGTTATGGTAGAAATACTAATATATTGTTAGGCACCTTTTCTCTTGACGTCGTTGAAATTTCAAAGCAATATTAACGTTACCTTTTTTCTGAGAACATACAACATTTTACTGGCATTGCATTTGTTGTTTATTGTAATGACTAACACTCATTATGGAATGTTAGAATGCCTATTTTAACAGAAAAAATTTCGTCAATCGATTCGATATTTTTTTTCTTAATTAAATTTATTTTAGATGTAATTTTGCATTTGTCGTATAAACTTAAAAATATAATTATTTCCATTTGTTTGATTTGTTTTTATTTTATTCACTGTTTCACTTGAGACAAAGGTTCAAGTGAGTAATTATGATCAATAAATATTTTACATCCCGTTCTTCCGTCTGGTGTCTTATTATTTTCACATTTCGACATCCCTTTCAAACTTTATACGAATTTTTATTAGGTCACCTGAGTCACTCAGGTGACCTATTGCTATCCATTCTCGTCCGTCGGCGTGCGTCGTGCGTTAACATTTGAACATTTTTAGCTTCTTCTCTGAAACCGCTTAACCAATTTCAACCAAATTTGGCATATAGCATCTATGGGTGAAGGGGAACAAAAATTGTGAATTTCATGGTCCCTGCCCCCCTGGGGCCTGAGGGGTGGGGCTAAAACCACCAAAAATAATGCAATCTTTAAAAATCTTCTTCTTTACTCCAGGACATCAAGCAGTCAAACTGTTGGCATCATTGTAACAAGCATTGAGCCCTCTACCAAAATTGTGAAATTCATGGCCCCAGGGTCAGGGGTTCTGGCCCCAGGGTGGGCTATATAGATCATATAGTGAAAGTGCATTATTCCTTTGAAAATCTTCTTCTCTGCTCCTGGGTATTAAATAAAGTAACTAAGTACATAGTTATAAAGAGCAAGAGTGCCTCTTCCAAAATTGTGAAATTCATGGCCCCAGGGTCAGGGGTTCTGGTGTTAGGGCGGGGCTCTATTGATTATATAGTGAAAAATGCATTAATTCTTTGAAAATCTTCTTCTGTGCTCCTGGGTATTAAATAAAGTAACTAAGTACATAGTTATGAAGAGCAAGAATGCCTCTTCCAAAATTGTGAAATTCATGGCCCCAGGGTCAGGGGTTCTGGTGTTAGGGCGGGGCTCTATTGATTATATAGTGAAAATGCATTAATTCTTTGAAAATCTTCTTCTGTGCTCCTGGGTATTAAATAGAGTAACTAAGTACATAGTTATGAAGAGCAAGAATGCCTCTTCCAAAATTGTGAAATTCATGGCCCCAGGGTTAGGGGTTCTGGTCTTAGGGCAGGGCTCTATTGATTATATAGTGAAAATGCATTAATTCTCTGAAAATCTTCTTCTGTGTTCCTGGGTATTAAATAAAGTAACTAAGTACATAGTTATGATGAGCAAGAATACCTCTTCCAAACTTGTGAAATTCATGGCCCCAGGGTCAGGGGTTCTGGCCCCAGGGTGGGGCTATATAGATCATATAGTGAAAGTACATTATTTCTTTGAAAATCTTCTTCTCTGCTCCTGGGTATTAGATAAAGTAACTAAGTACATAGTTATGAAGAGCAAGAGTGTCTCTTTCAGAATTGTGAAATTCATGGTCCCAGGGTCAGGGGTTCTGGTGTTAAGGCGGGGCTCTATTGACTATATAGTGAAAATGCATTAATTCTTTGAAAATCTTCTTCTCTGCTTCTGGGCATTAAGATGATAAACTAAGTACATAGTTATGATGAGGAGGTGGGCCTCTTTCAGAATTGTGAATTTCATGGCCCCAGGGTCAGGGGTTCTGGTGTTAGGGCGGGGCTTTATTGACTATATAGTGAAAATGCATTAATTCTTTGAAAATCTTCTCCTCTACTCCTGGGCATTAAGGTGATAAACTAAGAACATAGTTATGATGAGGAGGTGGGCCTCTTCCAGAATTGTGAAAGCCATCGCCCCAGGGTCAGGGGTTCTGATGTTAGAGCAGGGCTCTATTGATTATATAGTGAAAATGCATTAATTCTTTGAAAATCTTCTTCTCTGCTCCTGGGTAATATTTAAACAAACAAAGTGCATGGTTATGATGCATAAGGATGCCTTTTCAAAAATTGTGAATTTCATGGCCCCAGGGTCAGGGGTTCTGGTGTTAGGGCGGGGCTCTATTGATTAAAGAGTGAAAATGCATTGATTCTTTGAAAATCTTCTTCTCTGCTACTGGAGATTATTTAAACAAACTAAGTGCATGGATTTGATGCATAAGGATGCCTTTTCAAAAATTGTGAATTTCATGGCCCCAGCGTCAGGGGTTCTGGTGTTAGGGCGGAGCTCTATTGATTATATAGTGAAAATGCATTGATTCTTTGAAAATCTTCTTCTCTGCTACTGGAGATTATTTAAACAAACTAAGTGCATGGTATGATGCATAAGGATGCCTTTTCAAAAATTGTGAATTTCATGGCCCCAGGGTCAGGGGTTCTGGTGTTAGGACGGGGCTCTATTGATTATACAGTGAAAATGCAATGATTCTTTGAAAATCTTCTTCTCTGCTACTGGAGATTATTTAAACAAACCAAGTACATGATTATGATAGGCAAGGATGCCTCTTCCAAAATTTTCAAATATATGGCCTCAGTTTTTGGGGTTCTTGAGGAAGGGGGGGGGGGCCTCTATTGATTATATAGTGAAAAAGCATTAATTCTATTAATTAATCATTAATTAATCCTGTCTGCTCCTTAGCATTGAGCTAATAAATAAATTGCTTAGCTATGATGAAAATGGGAACTTCGAACAGAATTTTTAAATCTTGTGGTCCTAGGATCAGGGGTTCTGGCATAATAAGGGGTGGGGGGGTGGGTGGGAGGGGCTTTTGATAATATAGTGGAAAAGTGTTAATTCTTTGAAGTCCATAGGTATGATGATGAGGGTAACTCTTCCAAATTTGTAAATTTCTTGACCCTTGGTCTTGGGTTCTGGTGTTAGGGTAAGGCTTTGTTGAATCTGTAGTGAAAATGCATTGTACCTGTGAAATTCTTCTCTACTTCTGGGCATATTGGAAGAAAACTGAGTAAAAGTTTAAATGATATAAGTAAGCGTGTATCTACCAGATTTTTGAACATCTGGACCATTTGTCTAAGCATTCTATTCCTGGGCAGGGCTCTATTAATTTGTATTCTACTGAGAGAAGTTATTCCCCTTTTCCATTCACCTTTGATAATTAATCACTGTAAATAATGTATTTGAAAGGTTAATAGAATAAGATAATTATGCAAGAATGTTTATCATATAATTCAAAAAGTATTTTCTTAGTTTTAATAATCAGGTAGACCTGTAAGTAATAGATAAATAAAAATGAGACAAAAATAACTTATCTTGTTAAAAGTTCTTCAAAGACCATAAGAGAGGTCAATGCGAGAGGTCTTAATATGGGTTTAAAAATAGTACAGAAGCACTAATAGTTTGTTAATAGTCTGCATGTGGGGGACAGATTAGAACTTAATTTATGAGTTGATACTGAATACTAGACTAATTATTTTGTTGATCCTGATCTTCCTACTTCTCTTGCTTTAGGGCAACAAAGCTTCATCTATCAGTGTATTTAACTTCTAAATTGTTGTATTATACTCAGGTGACCGTTAAGGCCCTTGGGCCTCTTGTTAACAATGCATTCTTTGGAAAAGGAAATTTAGTTTATTCCGATGAAGGAATTATCATTATTAAGAAATAGCAAACTAGGCTGCAAACCATGTCATTGAATAAACCTTTCCTTAAAAAAAACCCAGTGGTTTCCTGCTGCACAAGGACCGTTTGTTCTTCCATCTTCTGTTTCTCATCAAATCAAATGATCAAGATTGGCAGTGACATCATTGTTCGTACCAGCTCTTTCATCTTTTAACCACTTTAAAATTAAAAATAGATGAATTAACTATTGTAAAATTTTAATTCCATGCACCAAATTGTAAATATCACCCTCTGGTTTTCACAACTGTGAATGTTTTCAAATAAGCCCTTTTAAGGAAACAATATGTGTCTAGTGTGAGATATTGACACTCTAAGTGTGAATCTGAAAAGACAGAATTAATTCTGTAGAATTAATAACTTTCTATTTCTTGAGACCAGATCGTAAAGTGTAATAAATCAATACAAATCAGTATAAATCAATCAAGATAAATTTTACAAACAGTAGCAGTTATGAACAACATCGAAAGTATAAAAAGGTAAACATAATTATTTATAAACAAAGTTGTTAAAATGATGACAAAAACACTGTCGGAGAAAAAAATCCATTTATGTAAGAGAATAATTTAATTATAAACTTTTTTATCAAAATAAAGAATAGTAAGCTTACCGACCAAATTGTTATAATTTTTTGTCTTTTGATCAATAGGTAAATAACCAAATATTAAGGACATTGGCAAGTCAGGGTTTTCCGGAGAAAAAAGGTTTAATACATGGGTTTTTTTTTCACTTATAAAATAGTGATTGAGAGTGATCTCCCGTGTAGAATTCTCTAAGCGGTGAAAACCAATAAAGTGTATGTTACAGAGATAAACAAAAGCACGTGTTCTTCCTTCAACGGGTAG